GCCCTGCAAACATCCCTATCCTGGGCACATCCCTATCCTGGGCACATCTCTATCCTGGGCACATCCCTATCCTGGGCATATCCCTATCCTGGGCATATCCCTATCCTGGGCACATTCCTATCCTGGGCACCTGCCGGGCCCACCCTATGTGTCCCCAGCTCCAAACTCCCATCCAGGAAGCAGGTGGGGTGGGAGAGGAAAAGATGGGCGTCCATACCTGACATCTGGGTTGAAGTCCAGCCTGCTGGCCTCCTGCTGCAGCCTGGCCAGGGTGGCCCCGCCTTCGCGCTGGAGGCCCAGCAGACCTGGGTCCCTCAGCACGGCCTCCATCAGCTCCTTGGACTTGTTCAGACACCTGGAGGCCTCCTGCCAGTGTGGAGAGGTGGCCTGAGACCCAGTCCCCACTCTCCTTCTACCACCTTCCAGGGCTGCCCACACCCTGACCATGCCCAACTGCCCCAGTTTGGCATACAAAGTCCTACAGAAAGTCTATCCTTTATCTCTAAAACATCTCCTCAGGCCACTCTTCTCATTGCCATGGCAAGCTCACTGGTCTAAGTGCCATCATCTCTTGTTGGCACACCCATCCCAGCCTCCTCACTGGTCTTCCTGTTACACTCTGGCTCCCCCTGTAGTCTATTCTCTACATGGCAGCTGGAAAGATCTTGGTGCAAATTTAATCATCCTTCTGCTTAGAATTCTCCAGTGGCTTCCCTGCCTGCTTAGAAGGACATCCCAATCCAACTCCTCCTTGATCCAGCCTCTATCCAGAATATCTTCCAGTTCCCCCCCACCCCCAAATCATTCTGTTCCACACTGGCCTCCATGCTATTCCTGAACGTACCAAGCATAATCCCACCTCAGGGCCTTTGCACATGCATGCCTTCCACCTGGAGCCCAATCCCCCTCCTATTCCCATGCAGGCTCCTTCTCATCCTTCAGGTCTGAATTTAAATACCATCTCTTCAGGGAGGCCCTCCCTCCTTCCCCATTATTTTCAATCTTATTTTCATAGCATTTGGCATAATTTGTAACTACATGTCCATTTCTTTGTTCACTTTTTAACAACTCCCTCTCCCGTTGTACCATGCACCCCATGAGGGCGGGACAAATCGGCTTGCCCAGGCTGGGTCTCTGGGTGCACACAGTGCGTACCCAGTAAATATTAGTCAAATGAATGAATGAAAAACAAGGATGAGCCCAGCCAGCATGGCTCAGTGACTGAGTATTGACCTAGGAACCAGGAGGTCATGGTTCAATCCTGGTCAGGGCACATGCCCGAGTTGTGGGCTCAATCCCCAGTTGGGGACATGCAGGAGGTAGCTGATTAATGATTCTCTCTCATCATTGATGTTTTTATCTTCCTCTCCCTCTCCCTTCCTCTCTGAAATCAATAAAAATATTTATTTATTTTTAAAGTAAAACAGGGATGATCATGCCCAGCTGGCTATTTCCTTCACTGAGTCCTTGGTCTGAGGAATCTGAGGGGTGGTGAGAGTTTGCCACCCATGCCCCTGGCTCACCTGTGCCCCTCCAGGGGGGTCACCCTTCTCAAACTCCTTGATGGATGCCTGTAGCAGGGAGGAGGCCTGGCGGAGGTCAGCAAGGAAAGGATCTGACTTCTGCAGGACAGAAGTGGGGGTGTCAGCCTGAGCCAGTGAGGAGGGCCCCTCCGCCACCCAGGAAGACACAGCAGGGGCCCGAGGTGGTGGTTCTCAAACTCCGGCTGCATCAGAACCACTGGAGAGCTCGTTAGTGTCCATGCTGCTGGTCCCCCCCTCCTGTGTTTCTGCCCTGTTCCCCGGGGTGGGGCCTGAGAACGTGAATTTGCAACAAGTTCCCAGGTGATGCTGACACTGCTGGTCCAGGGACCACACTTTGAGAACCACCGATGCAGGGAATGAGAGGGGGAGAAGAAAGACAGGCCTGCACTGTCCCAGGCCAGTGGGGATACCTTGGGGGAGGGGAAAGCAGGGGGAGAGAGCGGGCAGGGGGAAGGGGGACATCCTCTGCTGGGTCCCACTTCAGCCCAGCTCCACCAGTGACTCGCTGTGAGGCTTTGGGCAAGTTACTTAACCTCTCTGTGCTTCCGCTTCTTCCTCTGTAACATGGGATCACGGTAATTCCTGCCTTATAGGCGCTGTGAGGATCAGTGTTAGTCTTCCTCTTTACCAGTTTTCTATCCTGGGTCTATAGGTAAGATTTCATTTAAAGGGAAGGTTTTAAAGCAAAAATGTAGTTTGAAAGTCACTCTATTAATTGGAGGAAGGAACGGGGGCCCAGGGGACACTAGGAAAGGAGATTTTTCAGTACCCTGTGCTCCACTTGAATTTTGAACGTACTGCCTATTTTTAAATAGATGTGATCTTTAAAAGAAGAGGACAGCATTGTAAGCTGTTCGTACAGACCAGTGGCTCTCAGCGGGGAGTGATTTTGCCCCCTCGGTGACATTGGCAATGTCTGGAAACATTTTGGTTGTCATGGTCAAAGTGGGCAGAGGCCAGGGATGGTGCTAGTCATGCTACAATGCACAAGCCAGCTCTCAACAAAAAAATGATCCAGCCCCAAATGTGGACGGTACTGAGATGGAGCAGCCCTGGTCTAGAGAACGCCCCGGCGGGCACTGCCGGGCGGGGTTCCAATGTGGCTTACGCTGGTCATCTGCGTGCTGCTGTGTGAGCCACCCCGTCGGGGTGTTAATTTGGGACAGAGGAGTTGAGCTCACACGGGAAAGGGGCCCCTCGCTGGCGGTTTCCTTATTTCCTCCCTCTTACAAGAGGGAACACGTCTGCCTTCCCTGTCAGACCCTGAGCTCCTGAGGTGTGTGTCCACAGAGCAGACGTCTGTATATATTTTCAGTTGATGCAGACAGCTCTTAGCATGTGCCAGACATTCTTCTAAACTCCTTATCCCCATTAACTCAATTACTGCTCACAACAACCCCCGACTCTGATTACCCGCCCCATTTTATAGATGAGGAAGTGGGTTCAGAGAAGGTATATTAGTTACCCAAAGTCACACAGCCTGACTGGGATTGGAACACGGGCAGTCGGGCCCTGGAGCTTGAGCTCTCGATCACTCCATGCTGCACCTCCATTTTAAACTTTTGTTGAATGACTAGTTTTGAACCTGACAGTGTGGATGGATCCATGGGCAGGATAGTGAAGGGAGGAAGGGAAGGAGTGAGGGTGCAGGACTAAAGGCTGTGACGGTAGACACCTGGAAGAATTGCACCCACTCGCTGTGGCAGTAGGGGAAGGAGCCTTCCAGGGCGGTGGGCATCTGGCTGGGGTCCACGTGGTGGCTGAGGGCCTTTAAGGAAGTCAGCACCTCCACCTGCAGACAAAAGAAGAGAGTCAGGAGGACCGGGGACTCGGTGTGGGGACAGATATTTGAGAAGGTCCTGTCCAGATCCCAGCCCCAGCACCATTCCACCTCACACAGGTGAGTCTGCCCCTGGCTGTAAGAGTTGCTTTCTGGGCAATGGATTTTCTCTGGGAATTCTGAAAAATCAAAATTCAGAACCAGACCCTGGGTGAGGAATAGCAAATAAACAGCATTTGCCATACCCTTCTGCTGCCTTGTGCCCAAGGCAGACATCATTAATCAATCACAGCACTTGCTCCCTCTGAGCTCAGCTCTTGCCCAGCCCAGCTCTCCAGGCAATCACACAAATTGACTGAAGCTGGCCCTAATTTCTTTGTAATCCTGTACCATCCTCTGGTGACCCACCAAGGTGCCGTCTCCTTCTTGAGGCTGTTGTGAAAGGTCACCAAATCCTAGCAGCAACCCCTAAGACATGAAGAAGGGACTAGGTGACTGCTTCTCCCAGGCAGTGCAGTTGGAGGTTTATGCTGGGAACAGCTCCAGACACCTAAGCTTGGGGCTGGGCACGGTTGTGGTTTGGGGGCCCACTAGTTATGGCTGGTCCTCCAAGTGCGGTTCACAGACCAGCAGCAGCACCAGCACCACCTGGGAGCATGTTGCAGATGCAGAGTCCCAGGCCCCAAACAGAACGACTTCATTGGAAATTGCACTTGGACAAAATCCACCAGTGACTCGTAAGTACATTAGGTTGGAAGGCATTTCTCTAGCTCACAATGTGCCCGTCCCAAACCAGGAGGGAGGGGCCCTTTCACACCATCTCCTGAAGCAGGGCAGAGCACTGTGACTGTGGTGCCCCGCGCTCTTTCCTGCAGAGTCCAAATCAACTCTGCCCCTGAGGCTGAGATACTGAGAAACTCGGGAGAGAAGTACAGGGAAACTGGGAGGAAAAGGCACCTCTGCCTCCAGCTTGCTGTTGGCCTTGTGCCTCAGTTTCCCCAGGTGCAAAGGAAGTGGGGAGGGTTTGGCTAAATTAAGCTTCTCAGAAAGGTATCCTGCATGTGCAGCTCTCGATCACGTGGTGGTGCCCACCGGGCATTGCGAGGATTGCCAGGGGCAGGGCCCGAGAGTTGTCGCCCGTGGGCCTTGTATGTATTGACCTTATTTCAGGGCCTCTCTTCGCTCGGGACGTCTGCAATTCTTCAGCCCAGCTCGGTGCAAGCCCAACACCTCCTCTCTGCTCGGCTGACGCTGCCAGCCCCTCACCTGGATGTCAGGTAATGTCTCCAGCGGAAGGGCAGTCTCCTTCTCCCCCAGGAAGAGTATGACATGGATGGAGGCTGGGTCCAGAGCCTGTACGAAAGAAACATTTCGGAGCTGCTCTGCCCAGGCCTTCACGGAGCCCCTGAGCTTCCCCTCTAAGACACAAGCAAATAGGCCACAGGGCCAGGGAGGGGAAGCGGGGCTTGTGCAAGGCTGGGACCCTTGTAGGGTATGTGTGGAGGGTGTCATTGGACATCAAGAGGTCCAAGCTGGGTTGCAAACTTCCTAGATGATCCATCCCCTCTGGGCCTCAGTTTCCCCATCTATACAGTGAGGAGGAGGAGGTCAGACCCTGAGGTAAGCTTAAGCCAAAATTCTATTTACTCTGCTGCCCATACCAGCTATGGAGGAATCTCCTCCCTCCCCTATTCTCAGTTCATGAGGTCCCGGTGACCTAAGTCTAAGCCAATCAGTGTGCTGCATTTTCCTGACACCTGAGCCAATCAGAGTTAAGGAGACACAAAGCAACTTTTGC